TGTTACATTATATTGCTTCTGAATATAGTGTAACAGTAATTTTATACCAACAAGAATTAGAAAAAGAAAACTAACCAAAGTAGAATATCATTAAATCAGTTGGTAGGTGATTAAATTCCAGTTGATAACAGAGAGTAGTTATGACTACATGATACAACTTTAAGCCATTTCCATATACATGTGTGTATGCATATATATGGATATATATTCTCTTTTGTAGTCTTCATTTATAGAAATCACATAACAAGTTCATTTTTTTATAGAGCATAGACATTTTAGCTTTAGTAGTGGAGCAAGAAGACATAAGCAGTCAAATCATGTTGTTGTTGTTTTTTTTCCTGACTTTTCACAACACACACTCTGTTACTGAAGGGAACCCAGGTTCTAACGTTATTCGACATAATCTCAGGTAATGACCAAACTGTAGGAATAGACTCTTAGGAGCATATAGTCACCCTCAAGGGAGCACATCTCACGCACTGAAAATACCATAAAGAAAATTATTATTACTGGGATTACTGGCAGACTGCATTCCTACGCATGTCAAAGAGGAAAGCGTTCCAATTTAGCTCTATGAAACATGCAGCTATGTCAACCTGCCACATTTTTTTGGCATTTCTGTCTCATTACCAAAGCAATATTTACCAAATAAATGATGCACATTTCTAAGTGACTAGCGTTCAAGTCCTTTGGCCTATACCTTTGTTGTTTACTGTTTGGGGAAAGGCTATGAAAGCAAATAAATGGAACAGCGGTGAGCCACACACTGCCCTCAGTGCAGTGGCTGTTTCCTGTCCTGCAGCTGGAGCTTTGGTAGTATAGTCAGGCTTTGTTTATTCCATTTGAGTATAAGCAGGGCATTCTACTCAGTATGCAATTAAGAGCTCTCTTGACTTCAGTTATTAACATCTACAAACTATTGAGCGTAAAATTAAAGTTGAGCAATTCAGCTCTTTTTGACATCTAACCCTGAAAAATAGTTATGTAAAACTCCAGAGTCAAAAGGCATTCCCTATAAGCAATGGACAAGTGAAGAGTGAAAACGTTTAGGGAAAAACAGTGAATATATAAAACTGATGTTTATATATGTCTATATAATGTATATATTATGCGTATATAGTGTTAAGAGCAAGCTACTACACTCATGCAAATACATCAACCAGTTTGTTGAACACAGGATATTACATTGATTTTAACAGAATGCTACATGATTGTTATTGCCAAAGCTCCAATGAAGGAAATAATTAGAACACTAAACCTTTTAAAGGCTTTTAAATGACTTTAAGCAGTAACCAAAAAATACTATAGAAAATCTATATACTACAATTGATAGGGTATAGAATTGGTTCTTACTTTACCTCTTCTAAATTTTCTTGAGACTGCCAGGCTACAGAAGATGGTGAATCTTGTTTTGCCATCAGCAGTGTGACATTCTGTAAATCTCATGTGCTTCAGGGAGAACTTTATTATTTTTTATTTAGAAATTGCTCTGCTGAATAGACAGTATGAGATTGTGTGTGATCTTTATTAGACCCTGGCCTTATTGTTACAATAAATAAACAAAAGCAACAAAACAACCTGACCAAAACAGCTTTCTTCACTGCAGCCAAAGAAGTCAGGTTAATGAGATTTCACACAATAAAGCCAGAGAAATTTTCAGATCGGCCTCTTGCTTGAATTTGTGTGAAATTCTTCTAGTTTTTCCTTAAGCACACTGCCTGTCTGACTACGCTGTAAGGAACATTAGTTGAGATACTAATTCACCTTGAATCAATGGGAACCTAACTCATTTTTATTGCTTATTATTTGAAAGAGTTATTATAATCAAGCAGAATATCTTGAAGTGAACCACAGGAAAATGAGTGGATAGGAGCAGAAATTAAGAGATCATAAAACAAGAAATCCTTCAAAAAGATGTGGCTAATCAACATGATTTCCTCTGTTTTCTCCTGTTGCTTATTTCCGTATTTATCTTCCGTATACATTTTGAGACATCCTCAGGCCCTAGGATAAATGAAATATGTTCTACATTTATTTTTAGTAATTTGATCCCGCAAAGTAGAGAAATCTAGAAATATTTTTGAGTGCCTTTCAAACATCATTTTTCTATTCTCTTCCTCTCATCAGTGCCTCTTGTCTGCTCAAGTGGTTAAAAGATAACAAGAGTGGAAAGAACCCCACGTCTCAATTTTCTTTTTCTTCCTCTGTAACATAGGGACAAGAGTAGTACCTTCCTCAAACAGTTATTTTGAGAATTAAGTGAGTTAATACAAGTAAAGCTCATATAATTGGCACACATTATGTACTTGTAACTGTTGCAGTAGTTATAAAAATGGTAATGATAATATCACCTTTTAAATTTTACTGCCATCATGTGAATTTATGATATTCTATATAGAGTTGATCAGGAATTTGAGCTTCAATGTCCCTGGATACAGAGTGAAAATATCTTCCCTGTGACCTCAAATGGATTGTTTGTATAAAAAATAATTAAGAAGATATGAAACAAAATGCATTTACAATCATGGAATCTGGACTTTAAATAGAACTACTATGAATTCTGGTTTCATCTCTTAGTAGGTATGAGCCCTGAACTGAGACTTAGTTTCATTGCCTGTAAAGCAGTCATGGTAATAGCAACCCCTTATGAAGTTACTAAGTGACATCTGATACAAGAAGCTTAGTACCATGGCCGACATGGAGAATGTATTTCAAAATGTGGTAGATGTGAGAAATAAGTATCATTTATTTTCTCACTGATTTTCTTTAGGTCATCTTGCTGCATGATAATCTGAATAATTTCTAGCTTTTTAAAGAATCAGCATCTTAAACTTTCTTCACCTTAAAATCCAATCTTTGAACATCCTAGTTCTTGATGTCCACAGCTATTATTTAGGAAGCACCGGAGTTCACGTACAGGAGGGAAGAACTCAGTTAAGTAGAAGATATATATTAATCCTAAAAATCAACCACTGCTGCTATGTAACAGGAGCAAGTTTATAAGTACCACAATCAAAAGACATGTGACTCAGATAAAAAGAGAGACAAAGAAAAAATATTACTAGGTGAAAAATATTTATCATATAGGAGATATTATCTTGCAATGCATATATAAGAAAGTGTCTGACCAACCATTTAAAACTGAAAAATAAAATGAGAAGAAGCATCATAAATCGCACAAGTAACACTCAAGCCACTGCCCTAGGTATGAAGGTGTGTTTACCTACTCTACCTATTCCAAATCCTTTTTTTTTTTTTTGGTACCAGGGATCAAACTCAGGCCCTTGCACTTGTGAGGCAGGTGGCAGAAACACTGAGCCAAATCCCTGGCATTCTGAATTCTTTTTTTTACTGTTATTTCAAACCTGCAACACTAGAGTGCTTTAAAATTTCATGATAACACACTGGAAATTTAGCTTTTCACTTAATCTTACCAAGATTACTTTTTCTATTAATATTGTTTGGTATAAGAAAATAAAATTCTTTCAAGGTCTTTAGAAAAAGTATGTATCCAGGAATGTAAGGGAGGATAGACTTTGGTTGACCTCAGAAGAGAGCAAAAGCTCAAAAGAAATTTCATAAGGTGTTAAATTTGGCAAGAGAACTACAATATCTCTGATAATTAGACTTTCAACACATTTGGATTTGCTAATTGGATCTAAATTTTAATTAGACTTTTTATGTAACTAAGAATGACATATCCTTGTATGAATTTAATGTGCTTTTACAGTTGAATCTAACAATTAGCAGTCTTTTTAGATTAATAAGGAAAAAGCTGGCTTTGCTGTTTACATTGTGACATCTTCACTTACAATACACTATGCACATTTTAGTTTGCTTAATTAAACACCTTTTGGGAGCTGCAAGAGAAATTCGAGTTTTAATGGGAAACACCTAAGTCATTTATTTGTGAGGAAGACGTGCCAGTGTGTTGATGACTTTGGAACCCACAAGCAAAATGCAATATGAGGAAATAAATCAATCCTCAGAAGGAGACAACACAAATACTTAGGCGCCCCTATAGTCATTCACTTATCAAAACAGTCTCCAAATATGGCTGAAGCTCTGTTACATTGTAAAGTGTGAAATGCAAGGAGATTCCCAAATGTGTAGACTCATGAAATTGGTCCTGGGGTTAGTTGTGTGCATTTCCTCCAAAATGTTCACTACAATGTTCTCTGCGCAGCTCCACCCCTTGGATAGTTATGTCTTAATCCAATTATACTATCTCTTTCTGTTTTCCTTATTTCTGATTGAGTCTCATCCATTGTTATACCATTGCAGTGTTTGGGCCCTAATCTTTAAATTGGAAGCCCTCAGGTTTGGATATTACAAGTGGTAAGAACTACATGAGGGTGTGGAATTCAAGCCATATCTTAGATAGTACAGAGCAGTGAATCACTGCAAGGCTTTGGTAGAAAGACTGCCACCAAAATTTGAACAAATTGATAGCACTGACAGACTAGGCAAGTTACATTGTTTTCTGTATCATGAATACCTTGAAACAAGCCCCATACATGATCTCCCCCTCAAAAAAAAGCCGGTTCCCCTTTAATCATATTAAAATATTTCAAAGATTTAAGTAGCTACTTTCAGAGTAAAAACAGTGTAATGTTGAATTAAAACATAAAAGCTACAAGAAATTTTAACTTGTGCAGTAACTGATATATTAGAGTAGACATTATGCTCGAATTATACGCACTATTATTTTTCCAATTAGTGATTGAGTTATTGGTGTATATATAATTCTCCATTAAATTAGATGTCCTCAGTAAGCCTCCTAAAGCATGTTGGGAAATGTCTGTGCCATAAAATGATGTTGAAAAGCAGGAAATGCCATTTCTGATGGTTTAATCTACTGTTAAGAAGAAATTCTGTGCAGGACACTTTCTACAGTAATTATACAAAGAGCTCTCACATAGCTCTCTTTGCAGTCCAGACAGTTGTGACTGAACTGTTCTTCAGGCAGAAAAGTGACTGAGGCTGTTTTAATCTTTCAGCTCGGGTGCTGGAATCCTGTCACAGGACTCAATGGGTCCCTCACTGACAAGAAACTGGAGAACAACATGCGTGGCGTAGTTCTCCGTGTGGTGACTGTTCTGGTAAGTCTTGTCTGAGCCTTGGTTTTGGCTTTTGGAGGTTCTTTCATCTTTAATTAATGAATTCCACAATTTTAAAAGAACTTTAAAGAAATCCTGACTTTGCTTTCTAAACACTTTTAGTAGTCGTATTTTCTGTTCATCGGTTTATATGGATCACGACCATTTTGCAGGTGTTTTGTTAATTACATTGCATTGGTTCAGGAGCTTTCTTAGGTATGGTTTATGCAATGTCCAGCTTTATACACCTTGTAAACTAACAGTATCCTTCAAGCATTTGCTCATGACTACCGTAGCATGCATAAATGCAGATAACTATGACAAATAAAGGTAAATGTTTAATGTATAGTGCATTCAGTAATAATAAAATGCTTGCAGACTAAGATACTCTTTTTCTTATAAGGACCTACCTGAAAAGAAAGATCATTCAATTATTTAATAGATACCTATTGACTGCCAACTGTATTCCAACCTTAGTGCTGATTCCTAGGGACATAATAAAATAAGCTGATACCATCCTGTCTTTAGGGACAACTGTGAATAGGGTTATACATGTGACACATTTGCTTTAATTCAGCTTACTTGTTATAAAGTCAGTAAATTGTAGCTATTATCATTATTGTTTTCTCTCTTAATAAAGATATAAAATAATGGAAACATTCTGAAACAGTAAAACATTCAAGTGGCTATGTCTAAATAGCCATAAAACTTGAAAAATGCACTTCTTGCCATTCCAACATGCTTAACCTTGTCCTAATAGATGTTTTTAAATGAGTCTACAATGACTAGCTTTCTTTTTCTTTAGAAAACCCAACTTGTTTTTAAATTTGAAAAGAATCATATAGGCTACATTAATTACAAAATTAATAAATGGAAGAGGCAGTCTTTTTGATACATTGATCATAATTGGATTCTCATCAATGGGTACCCTTGGAGTGTTTTTTAACACAAATTAAATAGACCTCACATGATTTCATTGTTTTAAAAAAAATCTGTAAAGTCTCTATAAAAGAGAATTCAAGTGAGTAGCCTATTTCTCCTTTTTGAGGTACCTATTAATTCATTTCTAGTTATTATTATACTGTTATTTTTATTAAATAGTTATTATAAGAAAAAAGTGACTGTGTCCCTGTTTGTACCTAAGAGTATGAGTATGCATTTAGACCTATGTGCTAGTGTTAATTTTTAAAAAGATAGACATTTAAATCACAGTGAGCTATTGTCCTCTTTCTAGTGATTATCATGAAAGCTTTAGTGACAACTGCAGTAAGTAGGCAGTATATATACATATTTTCCTTTGAAATAAGAAAATAAATTTGTAAAACAAATTAATCTTCCTCAGTTGTTAAGCAAATATTTATTTAGCACTTATTTTATGATAAACTTGGTGATAGATACATGATAAATAATCTACAAATCTATTTTTAGGGTATGCATAGAATCATTTTAGGAAAGCACACATAAAATAAAGCAGCTAAGATTTATTAAATACTTGCTATGTGCCAGCTATACTATGAAAGTGTTTGTGTGCATTGTCTCACTCAGTTATCACAGCATTCCCAAGGAATAGAGACTTTGCTGATCCCAAGAATATGAGTGCGGAAGTCAAGACACTTAGAACTTGAAAAAATATGTAGAAGGTTATACAGATAGTAAGAGCAGAGCAGCAGTTCAAATCCAGAAAGTCTCAACTCCAAACCACTTAAATCCTATGCTCAGAGATACATTATACTTTATGCACTCCTACTATGATAAGTATGAGAACTGAATCTATAGCACTTTTATTTTTACTTGAGAATTGGACACGTTTGACTCTGTATAAGGTAAAAGTGGGTGCAGTTGGGAAAGCTTCACAGCATCAATCAGTCGTTTTCAATTCATTTCCAGGCTGAATGAAATGATAGCTATTTCACTTACAAAATGGTATGCCTCTCCCAGTGCTCCGGCTCCTCTAGCTCAGGTCCACCTTCCAGACACAATGGCCTCTGTTTCCCAAAAGCTTTGCCTGGCCCAGGTCCTGAATACCAGTTGTGAGCAGAGTTGGGTGGACAGTCTGTCTTATCCCAGGTTTTCTGTGATGGATGTGATGGGTGCCTGGCTGAATGAAATGATTTCCATGTATTACCTTCCCACAATAGACAGCCATTGTGCTCAACAATTTTACATGCTGCCTGGATCTTTGAGAACAAAAGCCAGTACTGACTTTATTTATTTTGCACAAATGACTTTCCAGGTTTAGATCCCAGATATATGTTCTTGTAAGCTTCTTCCGTATAAAACTGGCAATCACATTCCCCTCCCCTCAACCCATCCCATAACTCCAAAATGTCAATGTTGTACCCTTCTACCCTGGAACTAGGATTTAGTTCATACTTGAATTGATCTGGCGACCTAAATGCCACCCTTTTGTTTTCCAAAGACTTATCTTCAACACTTTCTAAAAGAGATAAAGAGAATGGCTCCTGTGTAAGTGCCCCAGATGAGATCCTTAATATATGTGATAGTTCAGCTAAAATCTAGACTCAGTTCTACCCTCTGCTATTTTACTTCTTAAGACATCTATAGTATCAGTTACACATATGTTTGCAAAATTGATACTCCTTATCTAAATTTTGAAATTTTCATTCTTATCATTGGAGTTAAGGATATTTCCTTGACTTAAGAGAAATAATTTACTATATATCCTAAGCCAAATAATTCAGCACTGTATGGTTTGTGATTCCAGAGGCATACAACTGTTATAGTCCAGATATTCATTAGAATAATTAAATAAAGGAATTGTAAACAAGAATGTAAATATGGCCGAAGGAATCAAGACAGAGTGTAGAAGCACCAAGGCCTGTGTGTACAGCCAGGCATGGGCTGATGACGACTGATGGAGAGCAAGAAGGGAGAAACATCACCTGATTTGAAAATAACGAGAAGCAGGGAATAGAGCCCACTCACTGTGTCTGTGAACGTAGGTACAGAAGGAGAATGAGGAAGAGGATCACTGTTCAAACAGTAGAAAAAGGGGACTAGGTCATAATCCAGACGTGGCCATCCACTTTTCCATCTCTTTTCATTGTCTCTTATCACAGCATTTTAACTTGTATTAGTGAGGTGTCACAGTTGTGCATCACACAACAGAAAACAGTTCAGCTTAAATAATAAGTGATATATTTACGAAATTAAATCAAGGAACATTTCTGGAAAGTTAAATCCAAAACATAGGGCAAGAAACATTCATGAGAGGACTATTTTAAAGAATATCTTCGAAACAAAAGATATAATGGTAAGAAGAGTCAATTGAGGAAAAATAGGACAATAATATAAATGATAAAATTATAGTCAAACTAAAAAGCTATCGTAGTCATAGTAGGAAATACAGAAAAAAAGCTTATCTGTAATAGTACACAGAACAAGAGCCAAACTGTTTTGAGAGTATGACACATTTCTCTAGGCACCTCTCTATAATAACTGTTATTGGCTTGCGTATAGCACAGAGCTCTCTACTGAGGTACTTTCTGAGTAATTTCTTTTTCCTGAAATTCTCCATTATTAGTCTCACTTCTTGAAATTGTCTTCAGTAGGCCTTATTTCCCTGTGAAATTTTACATATATTACCTGAGGTCTTCAAGAGGTAAAAATATTATATAGTACATCATGGACTGCTCGCCTTAACTCAGAAATTCTCTACTGAACATATGCTGTAAGTTAAGCATTTCCTTCAGCTCCCAAGAGGCAAAGATAAATAATATACATATATATGATATATATGTGATTTATGCGGAGAGAGAAATAGAGACAGAGAGACAGACACACACATGAAGAGAGCTCAAGTGAGTATAATACAGATGTCACAGTCTTTTTTATAATCCAATATTGTAAGTGACATTCACCATGACTGGCTTCATGGATGCAGGAGACAATTTCATTACCTATTTCACTTGTTCTTTTACTCAGACTCATTTGTAACCCCCGACCCCCGTTTTTTGTACCTGGGATCGAACTCCGGTCCTTGAACTTGCAAAGCAGGCAGTGGAACCATTGAGCTAAATCCCCGGCCCCCTTTATGTTTTAATTAATAATTTCATTAGTGTTGGGCTGCCCTATTAATCTAAGTAATTTACAAAGACGAAAAAATGGGATTTTGCTTTTAATGCATGGAACATAGAAGTAGATTAGTAAATCTGTCGAATGAACCATTTGGAAGATCTTAGTCATTTGAAGCAGGATGTGTTTGTCAATGTGTATGTGAAGGATCATGGAAAAGAATTGCAAAAAAAAAAAAAATGTCCCTGTATGTGTTGGTTTTGTTTTTGCTGAGACAAAATTAACAACAAACAAGAAGAAACATTTGTCTGGCTCGTTGATTCTAGAGGTTTTATCCATGGTTCCATTGCTTTCGGGCCTGAGCAGAGGCAGAAACATCAGGGCGTGGGGTAGAGACGCTGCTCACATCAGGGCGGGCAGGCGCAGAGAGGGCCGGGTCTGAGGACAGTAATGGTGACCTGCTCCCTCCAACCGAACTCTGCTTCCTAAGCATCCACCAGCTTCATGTAACACTGATAGCAGAGACCAAGCCCTTGACACAGGAGCCCAGGGAGGGTGCTCTAAGAGCCAAACTACAATGAGAAAGGGCCAGGCAGAAGACTGCCAGGATATGTGGTATTAGGATTCGTAATGCTTTGATTTTTGTCTACAAAGTCCAGATTTCCAAGAGAGATGGCAAGAGTCTCTTTCAGTAATAGATATTCTTTATTTCAGCATGATATTTTACTCGGGAATTCCTTTCTTTTTAATATACCTTGATGGATTGAGTAATAAATTCAGGTGGAATTTTATGGGGAGGATTTTCTTTTCCATTTCAGTTATCTTTTGAACAAGTGCTCTAAGCTTCATGCATGCTTCTCACGGTTCTCCTCTGGAGAACAGCTTGTTTTCTCAGACTCCCCAAAACTTCAAAACATCTTAGCTTGGTACACTGCTCCTTACTCAAAGCCCTAAAGATGAAAATAATA